TAAGCTTTAGTTTTAGGAAGAAAGAAAGGCATAACATCACTTTTGCCTTGGTGAGGATCCACAAATACCACATATATTGAGAGACTTGAGAGTGTCAAACAAAGGAAACTCTGAGTTTTATTTTAAAAATCTATAAAAACTCCAGAATAATAGTTGAACAAAGAACTTGAGACATAGTGCTTGACTTAATTATTTTGTCTTTCAATTGCTCAAGACCCAAGTGAAGGCTAAGAAGCCCCATTGTTGAAGGTAATATGGGTAAGTTTGAAAGTTAGATCGGTTCATTCTAATCCGGAGGAGAATTCTTGTTTGAACGTATGTGTACTTTTAAGGAGTTGCATCGATGTTCCCAAAAATCTTTAAACTCCTGATCCATTTATTGAATTTATCTTTGCTACAGGACTAGCAAAGGTTAAGCTTGGGGGAGTTTGTTGATGACAGTTGACAAATATTATAAACCGTCGATATAACATGCATAAGGGCATAAATATAATCACCAACGAAGGTCTAGGGGTTTAAACTAATAAATTCCATGAGTTTTGGTGAATCTATATTTTTTGTAGGGTTTATCCAGAAAACCATCAAGGTGGACCTACATGTCATATTTAATCGCGCTTATCCATAGGAGCCCGAGTGACTGCCAGGTGTGGCCGGCCACCTGTAGGCCGCCCAGCCCCTGGGGCCCACTGTTAGCCTCCACGTCACAATGTCAGTTCTCCATGGCCTCCTAGGTTGCATCTATGCCATCCTTTAAGTTGGTTTGATCCAAGGGCTCATGATTGATGCTCTGGCCTATATATACCAGCCCCTACCCCCTTCCTCAGGCATTGATAAGTCATTTAAGAAGACAGAAACCCTAATCATCCTCAGAGCTCTACCATATTCTAGGGCATAGCTAGTTAGGCTAGGTCTAGAGGAAGGCAAGCAGGCTTCGCTTGGATTTCTGATCTTGTCAAGAGCGTGGTTTGGTATAATTTTTGTACCCCCTCTCTTTTGTATCTCTCATTACTTTTATATGTTTGCTACAATTGTTATGACAACATTGGTATTCACAATATTCATGTTCTTAGTTATAATGTTCATCGTCTACCTTGATTATATATTTAGTATAGCTAGTTTATCATTATGTTTATGCATAAGTTCGTATAACGCTCGCTCTGGTGTACACATGGTGCGTGGTCGACATTATGTAAGCGTGGTGCTTATATGTTATTTTGCGGATACACCCTATATTCCGGGCCATGTGATAGATCGCGGATGTGACACTCACGTTGAGTCCTTTGTAGTCCACTCCTCGAATATAGGTGCAAGTAGGGTCCGGTTACGAAGGAAGAACAAGCTTTGTTCTTAATCATCCTTAGTAATATCCCTTATGTGTAGATATAAACATGACCTTAGCCATGACTATTAGGTGTAATTGTACTAATCAATGTATGTTTTGACTTGTAATTAAAAATGACTTAGGAATTATTCTTCTAACATTCTACTTAACCATGCCAATGACATAGAAAGGAGTACTCTGAGTGATTTATCATTAATCCATACTTATCATATACATAATTTATCCTATGACTTACCCCTGTTGTGAGTAGAATATTGGCTATGATTTACTTCTCCATCAATAACATAAGTTATCAATACATGTCCATGCTAGACCTTTCCTGTGGTAAAAATATAAATAACAATACCTAGAATACTCTTAGGTAAAGTGCTATAATGGTATAGTTATTTGTGCGCTTGCAGATTCCTTTCCTTTATATATATATATATTCTTTCTAGTCACATGAAATATTAAAGTACTCCTCCATATCGTATTTAGGTGTCATTCTGGAGGCCAGGCCAGTTGCGGCAAAAGAAGTCGTTCACGATAACGAGGGTGATTTTGGACGCGATTACCCCTGGCTAGGCACGCGCGCCGCCCATTCGCATGGCCGCCCGTTCGCATGGTCTCCTCGTCATTAATCGCGGACTCCTCGATTGAAGAGATCGCCTCAGCACGCAGACCGCCCACAGCACGCTCGCCGCCTGTCCGCACGCCTACTTCATCTCCCTCACGCTTGCCTGTGGATTCCGGTGGCTAGGGTTTAGTATTGTTTGGTTCGTTTCGTCTCTATGGAGACCGGCGGTGCGCGGGTGCTGGTCGCCGACGGACGGCGTCGGGCCGGAGTCGGAGGTGCTCGCCACGGAGGACATCGGGCCAGAGTCGGAGGAGGTCGCTGCGGAGGACGTCGTCGACCCGCTGCTGTCCGTGGAGTCCGACCCACTGCTGTCCATCGCGCTGGATTCGTAGGAGCCGGACAAGGTCGAACGCAGCGTTGCAGTCACCATATTCATGCTCGTCGAGGTCGAACGCAGCGGCGGCGGCGTCATCTTCAACGCCAGGCTCGTTTAGATCGAACCCAGTCCACAAATCAGCCATGCTAAGCTAAAGATATGGCTCAATACTACTCAAACGAAGTGGCATGAAGAATAGATGTGGCGTGATGAACTGAAGGACTGCGACGCTTTATTAAGCTGTCTGCAGGTATCCCAAACGTCGCATGCACGAGCGCCAGGCGAAAAAAATAAAAATTGAATGGCACGAGCGCCCAAACTCGATGGTACCGCGCCAAAAATCGGAAGCAAGCGCGGCAAAGCGTAGCAGCAAGACGGCGGACTCGTTCGCATAAAGAGCATGCAAAATCGCCATGCAAAATAGTGAAATCAAAAATATAAAGCCCACCAGGAATCGAACCTGGGACCTTGGGGCACTAACAGCACTGCGCTAGCCACTCCAACTCTGATTCGTTCTCGTATACAATGCACCCGCAGGCGTATTTAATAGGGGCAGACAGGAAAAATACCCTCTAATTAATGACTCATTGGTAATCACACTCATGTCCTAAACGACTTCTAATTACAATATGGAGGGAGTACTTCTTAGTGTCATTCTAGAAGTGGCACTAGGTTCTACCAACAAGCATTTCTGACACCAACGCTAGGGATGACAACCTAGTAAAAGATACTAAGGAATGTAAACAACATAGGGTGACTACTTAAAACAAGTGACACGTTAATAAATACCAACATCGTTCAAACTCGAAACAAAAGATTCTAGGTATGACTACTGATGTTATATGCACATGCTTGTCGTGTTGTTGTCAAAACTGTTTTTCATGTTGTTGTCGAAACTCAAAATAGAGGAATTTGGGTATGACTAATGATGCTACACACCTGCTTTGTCATGTTGTTGTCGTAACTCGAAATAGAGGATTTTGGGTACGACTAATGATGCTACACACGTGCTTGTCATGTAATTGTCAAAACTCAAAACAAAGGACTTTGGGTACGACTAATGATGCTACACACCTGCTTGTCATGTTGTTGTTGAAACTAGAAATAGAGGATTTTGAGTACGACTAATGATGATGTGCACTTGCTTGTCGTGTTGTTGTCGGAACTCGAAACAAAGGATTTTGGATATGACTAATGATGCTATGCACCTGCTTGTCGTGTTGTTGTCAAAACTCAAAATAGATGATTTTGGGAATGGCTAATGATGCTACACACCCACTTGTCGTGTTGTTGTCGAAATTCAAAGTAGAGGAGTTTTAGTACGACTAATGACGCTACACACTTGCTTGTTGTGTTGCTGTCGAAACTAGAATCAAAGGATTTTGGGTACAACTAATGATCTACATACCTGCTTGTCGTGTTGTTGTCGAAACTCGAAACAGATGACTTTGGGTACGACTAATGATGCTACGCACTTGCTTGTCGTGTTGTTGTCGAAACTAGAAACGGGGGATCTTGGGTATGAGTAATGATCTATGCACTCGCTTGTCGTGTTGTTGTCAAAACTCGAAACAGAGATTTTGGGGCACGACTAATGACGCTACACACCTCCTTGTTGTGTTGTTGTCGAAAATCAAAACAGAGGATCTAGCAAGTGAGTATGTCGTTGTCAAACCTCTAGAAATCTATACGCGCTCTACTCATTTGCTGTTGAAACAAGAAGACACTCCATCAAGCTCTAGAGTATCTCTAGAATAATAAAATATTTAGAGAATATGATATCTACCAAAATACTTTTAATAAATGCGCCAAATCTTTTTGATTCAAAAAATAAATGATTTTCATGCTATAAAATGGGACACCAGCGGGGTTCCTGAGGCAACAAAAAACACAAGAGAGGAAAACCCAGTGCCAGCCTTTCTCTCCCGTTCCTGTCTTTCTCCTATAGTCGCGGACCTGATAGTCCAATCCGCTCTCGAGTCTCCGACCGCTTCGAATTCTGTAAGTAATACATAAACACAAATCCCTTCCCTTCCATGTATTTGCTTGCACGTGATTCAATCCTGGAATGCCTAGCGTGGTGGAGCCTTCGGACATCTTTGAAATTTAGTTTCTGTATGTATTAGGCTCAGTTTGTGATCCTTTCTTTTCGCTGTACCGGTATCCAGTGGCGGAGCTTGACCATGAAGAGAGGAGGGGCCAATATAATATGAAGTAGGAAGAGAGGGGGTAGATTAGTGTTTCATCACCACTTAAAATGGTCAAACTAAGACTTTCATTAAGGATTTTTCTAGCTTAGGGGGCCATGGCTCACTATGGTCCTTACTAAGCTCCGCCACTGCTGGTACCCCCAGTCTTGTATCGGTTACTATGTTTTCTTAAAAGTAGGTAAAACTCTTAAAAAATGATTCAATCTTGGAAATAAGTTTTGCATGCTCCTCCAGCGATTTCCCACCGCTATTTCGCTGATGGTGGGGCCTGAGAGAACCTTGGCCCTCCTTCGCCGCCGCGACATTCCATGAAGCCTCTGTAGGTTCATGCTAAAGATTCGATTTTGTTGGGGCCCTTTTGATCCAACGCGATCCTGATTCCGACATTCTGCCATTCTGGGAGTAGGAGGCTTGCTCCTGCTATTTTTGATTGGTGTCTCCTCATGGGGGTCTTGCAGGTGTAGGAGTTCGTGTATTAATCAACGGAGAGCAAGTGGGCGCTGCGACTGCGCGAGCATGGCGGGCGAGGAGGCTGCAGAGAGCAGCAGGAGGAGGACGTTGATGATGCCCAACTCAACTGGTGCTGCGCCGGAAGCCCCAAGAACGGGCGAGCCTAAGGAATCGCTCGCCCCGGCGGTGGCAGGCGAGCCTGAGAAGGATGACTCCTGTGGATGCAACTCCAACTTTGAGTGTAACATCTGTCTTACGTGGCTAAAGAGCCCGTGGTTACACCTTGCGGCCACCTCTTCTGCTGGCCATGCTTGTACCGGTGGCTCTATGCACAGTCACCCTTCTGTGAATGCCCTGTCTGCAAGGGTGTGGTGCTGAAAGAGAATATCACTCCGATATATGGAAGAGGCAGTGAAGAAGGGGAGTCCACCGCCAACCCTGACTTGCCGCCCAGGCCTCGAGCACACAGAAGGGAGAGCCAGAGGCAGCAGCTGCAAATGGCGGGAACGGAGGGGAAAGCAAGAGAAATGGCAAGGGTGCTGATACAAGACGAGAACCAGGGTTGGGACGCAACCCCAGCGAGGGTCCAGACGACTTCGGTTCCTGCAGCCCGGCAAAGGGCTGGCGCTCGGAGACAGCGAAGGCAGGATAGCAATGCTGCACAGGTGGTTCTTGCAGCTCCTCAGCAGTCATCGTCTATGAAACAGCTATCAACTTCTAGCACTGCAGCTGCTATAGTGGGCGAGCCAGGGCCAAGTAGTCGGTCAAGAACGCCTTCGGAGTCTCCAACCATAAGAAGAACAAGGAGGAGGCCACAGTAGGTACCAGAGTGTTGTCACTCCCTTCAAAAGAACCTACAGACCATGCCCCGGTGTTAGCTATTACCCATGATTAGCTCCATAACATCTTCTGTATACTCGGAGTATATTTTCTGATTTAACCTCTGTTTCTGGTATGATATGTTATTATAACTTACATGATGTGGTTATTCCTGAGTTTTCAACATAGTTATTGTTCAAAATTGCAAGCATGTACTATTAGCAAACTATTCTTGCGGAAAAACAATTATTGAGTCTGCTTGGGTCTCTCTGCTTCTGCTCCAATTGCTAGTGTCATTGTGACTGAGCAGCAAAGGTAGTGATACCAGAATCATGTTACCTTGTTATGCCACTGGGAATTTGTACTTAAAATTGCCACTGAGTAGCACAGGGAATTTGTTGTGACTGTGTGGTACTGTGGTCAACCGTATCATTCCTCGTTCTGCAAAAGTTGCCTTCTTATGCCACTGGGTATTAGTGCACAAAACTTATACAGATGTGATACTGCAAAATACGAGCACTCCTTTTTGCATTTTGTCGCAGCAGTTAGGTATTTTTCTTTTGGCATTCTATAACTGGATAGCACACAACTAGGTTCTCTCATATATAATTCACAGAACCGGTGTATGTTTACTTCAAAGGCTCAAAATGAGAAGGGACCCTTAGTTTTAGCACAATCTTTCACGCAACATTCACCTATAATCAGCCCAAAATAGATTTATATGGCAAATGGAGACGATCAAATCAGTGGGATATTTTCCATTTACATGTCATTCGCCGACATGAACATTCAGAAAGATTGCATCACACATCCTCATGATAAGACTGACGACATTCTTTGTGGCCTACTAGCTATTCACATTTTCTGATGGAAAATCATCTCATTACTTGAGACCAAGAACAGGTTGATGTAGAATTATTTAAAATAATCAAAGGTCCACAAGATGGAACTACAAGCTCTAAAAGAGCAACAAAAGTTTGTTTAAAAAAAAAACCATAATGTTGCAGTCCCACATGACCACTTAACCAGTATGTAGGCTTCACCATGGAAGCCTATATATAGTCAACTATTCTGAATCCCTATATAATTAAATTAATAGATGAGGTAGAAATTTTTTGGAGCCCTCACCATGGAAATTTCCAGGGTCCTTAAACCTCACAATTTAACAGTATCTGCTAAAGCAACAAGCTCAAGAGCAAAGAGAATTGTCAAGGTCCTTACACCTTGCAATTGGAGAGCATCCGACGCAATGAGCTCAACAGCAAATTATTTGGAATGGTTGGCCAAGTTCACATCATTGGTGAAATTGCTTTGTGTTATTCCATTCACTACCCTTCCATATGGAGAATTCGAGCATGTTTGATTTGTGTATAGGCAAAAGGCACAATGGAGTTCTGTGTACAGTTCTGCAACCAGAGAATAGCACTTGTTTATTCAGCTTGATTCTGGCAAAGCATGTGCAGAGGATGCTTCTACTGCTTTCTCATATGTATAGCTAGCAGCCTAGCACCTTAAAAGTGTTGCAGGAGCAAGGGTCCGCAAAGACTCTTACCAGTAGCAGTAGCAGCACAATGACATATTCAGGATGTGTAGCACGTCTGTGTGGCATGATAAAAGACAATGGCCTCCTTTATTGTTTGAGTGCCTGTATTCCATCTTTTGTACTTGAAATGAAATGCAGCATTGGAGGACAAATATGATACCAATATTAAGTTGAACCAGTGGATATACCTTCTGCATGAGAAAAAAGGGACATTTTCAAAATTTGGAACGCACAAGTTTTGTATACCTTACAGTTCTAAAACTGTTTAGGATAGAAAAGATAGCTGTATGTCTCCAATTGATTTGTGCAGATGTTGGGATTACTGTGCAAAAAATTGATCGCCAGAAGACATGTGCTGCAACACGTTGTCCACAAGTTCTCTAATGATTTTTGCATGACAAAATCCAGCAGTGGTTTTCCTTGAAAGCAACAATACACATAGAGCATTAGATCTTGAACTGTTCAATCAGTCTGAGAAGGCTATATGTCTCAGCGTCAGGCATTGCCCCTCTCAAAATCATTGTCCTCGACAAATCCGGCTCATAAACTTTTGCCTTCACATAAGCTTTCAGGAGGGTGTTATACACAAAGGAATTCCGAGAATATTTTGATTCATTCAGTTCACTGTATAGTCTCTTTGCATTTTCCAAGTCTCCAATTTCTGCAAAGTTCTCAAGCAACAGATGCGTGGTCTCCAACCACGGTGTTGAACTCCTCACCTTTTTAGTGACAACTTCCTTCTTTCCCATATCTATTGTGTTCAAAGCTTCTTTAACAAGACCTGATTTCAAGCAACCTAATGCTAAGTGGCGATAAGTAATAGCATTAGGCTGGCATCCATTTGCTCTCATTTCCTTGAATACAGATGATGCTTTATCCACAACACCGTGCCTGCAGTAAACTGATAAAATGGAATTGAACTGTTCTGTAAGGCTTAACTTCTTTGTTGATTTTATCTGGGCCCATATCTTTTCTGCCTGGTGAATGGAGCCAACCTTTCCAAATGCTTCAATTGCTAGTGTGAAGCTTTTGGATCGAATATGAGGGAGGTCTTGCATGATCCCCCATGTCCTCTTTAGCTCCTTTTCCTTCCCAAGGTATCCATACAAGATAAGAAGAATTTCCAGCGTGGACCAATTAGTACCTGTCATGGAATTCTCAATGGCTTCTACATATGTGTGGCAAGCAGTATATAGCCTTGCAACAGCATGTGCAATAGCTAGAATGCCATAAGTGATCTCATTGGGCTCAATCTTTGCTCTTTTCATATCATTGAACACCCTGGCTAGCCCATCGATGTTGTGCTCATTGGTTTGTATTTTCAACAGGATGTTGTAGGTTGACGTGTGAGGGGTCACACGATCAGCTTTCATCTGAGAAAGGATCTTGGATATAGTTTTCCTGCGACCGGGTGAAGAATGAAGGATGATCAGGCGGTTGTAAACATATGGCGAGATCAGCAGGGACAATTCTCTCATCTTCCTCATGTAAGCGTATGAATGCTTAATGAGATCCAAATCCAAAGCAGCCATGACAAGGTTGTTGTAGAGGAGCTCTTTCTGGTATTCCTGAGGCACGCGAAGGAAGAGGCTTTCGGCTTCAGAAATGCCATGGACTTTAGCTGTGAACTCCAGCAGATACGAGTAATCAAGCTCACTCAGCTTGTAGGGCCTCTCTCTCACGATCCATTCCATGACCTGTGCGAAAAAGAAAAAAAACTGTCATATCCTGCGCAAATACTAGAAGGCAGGGACTAGGGGATCTTATGTCTATTTTAATTACCACTACTCAGCACATTGTTCAAGCACAAATAAAGAGAAGCTAGTTCTATGCTGATGAGCTAACTAGAAGGTGGAAGTGAACTAGTACCATTCAAATAAGCTTTCCACCACATTTGTGAACAAGTACAGAGATCAACAGTTCAGCACAATACAAGAGCACTAACAGAAGAGAGAGCAAAGAAACCTGGAAATTTCATGTCACTGCACAGCTCAACTCGCGTCAATCACCAAGGAAAGCTCTCATGAACTGGCAGAGGCGAAGTGGGGAAAAGGGGGCACCTGCAGGGCGGTGCGGTGTAGACGGTGTCGTCGGAAGCGGTTGATGGCGTGGAATACGTGGCCGCGGTGCACGGCGCAGCCGTCGGCCATCCAGCCCCGCATGGCCGCGCCAACCGACGCCGCCCGCTCCACCCGCCGCACCAGCGAGCCCTCCTGCCCTGGCTCGTCGCGGGGCCCCTCCGCCCAAAGAGGAGGAGGAGGAGGAGGAGGAGGCGCGGTGGCGTTGCTTCCGGAGCTGGTGAAGAATCCTGCGGCAGTGACGGGGAGCGGCGGCCGCCGGCGCTGGAGCAGCGCCCGGAGCAGCAGCATCGCGGCTTCAGAGGCGGAGGCCCCAGCACGGCAGGCTGTGGCACCTTTTTTTTTGTTTTTGAGAATCTGGCTGTGGCACCTGTCTCACCTAACGCCGAGCGCCCGAGTCGTGGCCCAACTTCGATCGGTCGAGCCCATCAGCCCAGGTGCCCAACACAATAACATAGCCCGATGGAGCCCATCAGACTAAGTGCCAACACAACAACATAGCCCATTAACCCACCCGGCCCTCTCACACTCTCCCTCGCTCGTTGCGCCGCTCACACCGCCGGCCCGCCCCTAGACGCCGCAAGCTGCGGCGCCGCGTGGGTCGCGGGCGACCGGCCGCCGCGTCGTGGCTGCCGGCGTGGGTCGCACCGACCGGCCGTCGCTCGCCATCCTCGTCGGGTCGGGACACTGGGAGACGGCCACGCCGGCGGTCAGCATCATCCACGGCAGCAGCGACACCATCCATGACTTGTATGCCTGTACCAAGGCAATGTGCGAGGTTCGTCCGCTGGCTCGATGCCCCCTTCCCACCCTGCTCTCTCTTTCGCCATGAATCCGTTGGGGCGGGAGCCTCTCGTTTGAGATGACCCAACGTATCGAAACTGGGGTTTGCACAGGCAACATTGCGAGTCGTTTGGATTTATCAGCGAATTCTTGTCTTCCTCTGCGCTTGGGAAAATGTCAAAATTGGAAGTTTCGCAATTCCTATAGAACAGCTAATGGCTTCCTCTGCTCTTGGGAAAAGGTTCAGAACTTCAAATTGAAAGTTTCGCCATTCCTATAGAACAGCTAATGTCAGTTGATTTATGGCTTTACTAATTGATTGTTACAGTTTGTTGTTAGTGGTATGACTTATCATGGCTGTGTTCTGTTCTTTAAATTTGTAAGTTTGTTACCTCTTGGATAGTTAGATCTTGGTTACTTGGTGCATGTTGAATGAGTGAATTATATTAAGGTGCTCCTGTTTTGATCATCTTGGCACCCTTTGATGTATTGCAGCGCATCGTCGTCCGGCTCGACGAAGTGTTCTCGGTATAGTGGTGTTCTGGCGTCATGAACTCAGCCGGTTTCTGCTCGCGGTAAGGTAGAAAAGCCCACAATTTCTATTGCTCATTCTATTGTGTGCTTGCTCTCTAGGATGCTCCTCGTCTCTAGATTGTGCATTCATTTATATTTCTCTCTCTACTCGTTGGTGTTTCGAGTAAACACCAATGAGTAAATTTGTATTATTGCGCGTCTGGCCCGGATGGTGTGCTAAGAAGACACAAGGTTTATACTGGTTCGGACAGAATGTCCCTACGCCCAGTTCGTGGCTGTTGCTCGTGTTATTAGCACTGAAAGCTCGTAGTAGGGGTTATAAACGGGTGAGAGAGGGACTGGTCCCAATTCTCTGGTGGTGTGTGTTGTGCGATGTTCTGATGCGGTGTGGTGAACTGATGCCCCTTAATGGGACGCCCTGCTTTTCCTTTTATAGGCCAAGGGAAAGCACGGGTTACAATGGGAGAAAAGAGGAGAACGAGAGGCAGAGGAAGTCCTTTAGGGTCGCCGGGCCTTTCTTTTCCTCTGTGCGGGCCCCACTGACATGGCAGATGGCGATAGGGACAATTCCACGCCGGGCGCCTGTCCGCTGACAAGGCCATGCCCTGGCATTGTCAGCGGGTCGTCACGTCCCACTCCGCCCCGGCGGGTGGCACGGCGAACCAGCGTGCTGATCAGCGGTCGTAGAGGGAGTACGCAGCATAGTGACCACGCGTCCATCACTATGGGCGATGTAAGTCCCCTGGAATGACATGTCGTGGGGACGGGTCGTGTTAAGACGTGACCGCTCTCTGCACAATGCCAGAAGTTTGACCCTGGGTTGTACTTTCTGGCCCGTAGTGGTTGGCGCGACGTGAGCTTCCGTTAGGAACCATGTCCGAGGGATCGGGCGAAGCGGAGCCAGCCCTCAGACGTCAGGCGAGGCGGAGTCAGCCCTCGGGGGTCAGCTGAAGCGGAGCTAGCCCTCGAACGTCGGGCGAGGCGGAGCCAGCCCTCAGACATCGGGTGAGGTGGAGCCAACCCTCGGGGGTCGGACGAGGCGGAGCCCAACCCTCGGGGGTCGGGTGAGGTGGAGCCTGCGGCCTTAGTGTCCACCGAGGCGGAGCCAACCCTTGGGTGTCGGACGAGGCGGAGCCCATGGCCTCGGTGGTTGGACGAGGCGGAGACCAGGAAGAGGTGTAGTCGCGCTCTTGGCCGCTCGGATGAATCAACGTTGATGGTTATTAGCTCCTCCTCTTCGAGTACCCTAGTATTGGTCCCCGACAGTAGCCCCCGAGCCCTCGGGCGATTCGGGTAGAATCGTCTGGGGGATTTTTCGACTTGCCAGTGGGTGCGCGCGAGCGCACCCGGTGGGTGTAGCCCCCGAGCCTGCGGAGGAGTAGAATACTCCTTCGGAGGTTTTTTCGAAAGGAAGGACTCTGAGGGCCCTGGCCTTCTTTTGTCGCCCACGGTGTGGATGGTGATTCCTTCTTGCCGAGGTCGGACCCCTTCGCGGGTATGGCCGTGAGATTTGGTAGTTTTTGTTAGCTGGCTTATTTCAACTGGGGTCCCGGCATCCCGTTCGCGGGGATTCGGCTAGGACCAGCTTGGCGGTCGACTTGATCGTGGGCTGAGATGCCCGTGGCTCTCGTGCGCCTGGATACTGGCCGCTTGCGGGCCCATCCCTTACTCTAAGGGTGTCTGGAGCGGTTGTCGAACCCGTTGATGGGCCAACCTTCGAACTCCTGGGCCCAGACGGGCCGTAGACGTGTTTTTTGATCCGTATTCCTCTTGTGACGAGTCGTGGCCCGCCCGGCGAGGCGAAACGTCCGGCGAGTCTTCCGAGGGAAAGGATAGGGATTGCGTGCGCATATCCCGCAGCGTGACGTTGTGGCAGATCGTGGCAGGCGCGGAGATCTAGGCGGGCGGTTGGTTTCCTCGCGCCTGTCGCCCCTATAAAACCAAAGGGTTCGGCCCCCGGGTTTCATACATTGCCTTCGCATCTACAACCGCCGTCGCCAATCGCTTTAGGCTTCCTGCATCCGCGTCCCAGCCGTCGTCGAGCTCGCATCCATCCACCCCCATCTTCCAATGGATCCGTGGTGCTGCTCTGACATCACCTTCCAGCGTATGGAGGGCCTCGTCTGTCGTGGCCTTCTCCGCGCGCGGACCTCGGCCGAGGAGTGGCTGCTGCGCGGCGAGGAGGATCAGCCGTCACCGTCCGACGGCGACGTGGTGTCTTTCGCACTTCCATGAGCGCGGGTTCGCTGCCCCCGCCACAGATTTCTCCGGGGGCTGCTGCACTACTACAAGATCGAGTTGCAGCACCTCAATCCCAACGGGATCCAGCACATGGCGGCATTCGTCGCCCTGTGCGAGGGATTCCTGGGGATCAGTCCCCACTTCGATCTATGGCGGCACTTCTTCGCCTTCACCCTCCAGAAGAATAGGGAGAAGGGAGGCAGGCAGGAGCTGCATACGCCGATGGGATGCGCCGGCATCCACCTCCGGAACAACCGGGTTGGAGAGTACCCATCGATGCGGCTGTCGACCTCCAACAAGGGGTGGCATTCGCAGTGTTTCTATCTCAAGAACGATGCCGCCGCCCCCTGCCGGAGTTCACCGGACGCCTAATCGAAGAGGCCCCGGATTCGTGGAGGAAGTGGGGTGTCCCGGAGAAGGACAAGAAGAAGATCTAGGACCACCTCGCCGTCATCCGCATCCTGAAGGAGAGCGGCCTGTAGGGGTCAAGCATCATCGGGGCCTACCACGCGAGGAGGGTGGCGCCGTTGATGAGGCGCGCGTTTCCGCTGTATGCGATGGCGCCTGAGGCGTCATTCGACAGGACGGCACTGGCCGAGGGAGCGCTCTCCCCCTCCGAAGTCGCGCAGCGCATTAAGGAGGCAATGGAGCCTTCGCGGGACGACGCGGGCGCCCCCTTGATTTCGTGTACCCGGTGCCGGGGCATCCTCCGATGCGGCCGGAACTAGGCTACGTCGTCTTTGTAAGTTTCCTCTCCTCATGCTTCCTCTTCAATTGATCTCCCGACCTCTTGATACTAACATTGAGATGGGGGGTCCAGCCGAGGGACCTCGTCCTCACGGATCACCCGGCTCCGTTGCCGAGGGATTCGTCCGTGAGGGCGGCGAATCGCGCCGAGGGCGAGCGGCTTAGGAAGGCGAAGGAGGACAAGAGGAAGAAGAGGCAGCAGAAGCTGCAGGCGCGGGAGCGAGGGGAGGACACCAACAGCGACGACGACGACGATGAGGAGGAAGACGACAATGAGGTAGTCGACAACATCGAGTGGGATGACCTGGAGAGCGAGGATGTGCTGGCAGGTATCCGCTCGTCCTTGCAGGAGTCGAGACCCTTCCCGTTCCATGGAGGGGAGGGCGCGTCTGTGGGGCCGGCGGAGACGGGCCGGACCGTCGGCCTACCCCAGGAGCCAACAGGGGCGGGCGGATCTGCCGCCGCGCCCGAGGCGCCAGCGGAGGCGGGTGGCTCCGCCGTCGTGCCCCAAGATGCAATGGGAGCGAGCCCCTCTGCCCAGGAGCAGGGGGCGGGCTCGAAACGGCCTCGCCCCGACGAGGCGGAGCAGAGGTCTGGGGGTTCGTCCCCCAAACGTATATGCCGCCCAACAGCGCCGATGTAAGTCACCAGCTCCTCTGTTTTCATCATGACTTATGCTTTTCGTTCCTTGCAGCGGCGTAATCCTTTGGCGCTGGTGCCAAAGAAGAGCGTCACCCTTCAAGCGGGGCAGCAACCGTCGGTTGGCGTCGCACCCGTTTCGGGCGGGAGTGGCGCCGGTGTGACTGCGTCGCCTGCCGGTCAAGCGTCGCCCACGGTGGCGCCCGTGCCCTCGGCGGGACAAGCGGGCGCAGGGGTTCGAGGGACGCCTTCGGAGGTCGCTGAGCCGCCGGCGATGGAGGCGATACCGCTGCCGACGACAGGGCGGACGGAGTTGCCGACCGCGCTCGTGGCACCGACCGCAGCGGGCGCGACGCAGCCAGTCGAGGCCCCGCCGTCGCAGGCGGAGGTGGCGGCGGCTGTGACAGGCGGGCCACAGCCGGACGCAACCGTGGCGGCGCACGAGGCAGCGGCGCGACCCGTGCCACTGGCGGCCCAAGCGACGGTGCCCGATGTGGGCTGGACGGAGGGGGACGCGGCCGAGGGGTTCCCGGACGTCGTGGTGGTGGCAGAGAGGACCAGCGGGGAATCGTCCCTGGCCCACGCGGGGCGAGCCCCTGCTCCGATGGACAAATCCGCAGGAGCCGACGTCGACGCTCTTCACCCTGGACGATGCCGCCGAGAGCATGGAGCGGGAGAGCCTCGACGTGGGGGATTGCGTCCGCGCTGGAAGCCTTGGACCACGCCAGGGGTGCCCTGCGCGACGTCATCATTCCCACTGGCCGGGTATTCGCTTGATCTTGCCTCTCGCCTTCTTCTTTCTCTATGTATTTTTTGTGTTCTGACCATCATCTCCTTTCAGTCCCTTATCGCTCGCAGCCGGGAGAAATCTCGGTTCCTTCGTGAGCAGCTGGGATAACCTCTATGCTAATCATGCAAATGGTACACACTGTGGGAAAAAAACATTGTTTGACTATTTCAAAAGGTGATGTACCTAATACTTGATAATAGCTGTCGTCCTACATTTCAGTAAGCAACTCTTCGTAACATCTACAATTCTCGTGATCAGTTCTATGGACAGAGGACCAGAGGCACATAACGATTAACATCAATTATGTAACGCACAAAACATTAGATAGCTAATCCATAACTGCAAAGAATAATATGATACATAAAGGGAACTCTATGCACAGAGAAATAGCATCAATTACCTCAGGCACAATACATTACATAACTAAGCTATCATTGAAGTACATTATGATTGATGCACATGACTCTGTGGACAGAGCAATTGACATCAACTGTCGCAGCACAAGACATTACATGACTCACAATAGAATTGTAAGTATTCATGATACATGTGCAAAGTAAATTTTGATAGACATAGGCAACTCTATGCACAGAGCAATTAACATCAATTGTGAAAGGAACAAGGCACTGCATAGCTATGCACAGCTGCAGAGTAAATTGTGAATTGTGATAGATACATGTAACTCTATGCACAGACCAGTCAACATTGATTATGAGGTGTAAGGCAATGCGTAAATAGTACAAAATCGCAGAGCATATATACAGATATAGTTAAGTAAAAAGTGGTGGAGTTGTCAACAAACAAATTATGAGTTTCATGACGAATGCTCGATCTTTTCTAGGTAGCAAGGTTGGATATGAGCATCTTCATAGAGCATCCGTAATTCTGTATCATCTAGAGAACATAAGAGAAAGCTCATAGTGTCTCCAATTTAACATAACCTCTTCATCGCTCCTCTCATCAAAGTAAGCATTAGTCAAAATCGCACGTTCATGCAGTTTCAGATATCTCATTTCTTATATTCTTGTATCTAAACCTCCATTGTCCCCCCTGTCTTCTCCGCATAATGGCAATCAGATGTGACGAGGATTAAAGATAGCTGAGATGCCCTAAAGCTCCCAAGCAGGACCACAAGAACAACTGAATCCAATCGGTTCTGAACCCAAGTAGAGAAGTCAAGAAACATGAGGAGTGGGGATTCCATGAAGATAACAACTGTTTCCATTGATGACTCATCTTCCCAAATTTAGTGCCCAAATCTGAGTTGCATGTCAACTGAGTAACTGACCCAAATGATCAAAATGAGTAGGATCAATAGAACAGATTTATGCAACATGCACCCAGCTACTCCCGGGCATCTTTACTCAGACCCCTTACCGCCATCGTCTTTCTGCCATGTCATTCTTGGTTTAACAATGTCAGCCAATTTCCAGGTTTTGACCTTTTCGGATTCATCTGTTATTCTTGGTTTAACATCTGGAGTTCTGCTTGCATCCATAGGTGCCTGTGATTTTTTTACCTTTAGCAAACCTACGTAATGAAGAGCGAGAGAGGATGGTAAAGGCAGAAGGAACTCACCAAGACACTTGTTGACACTGCAGGCAAGATCCGATCAGGTCGCTCGGCATTTACTGCTATAGGACTGCTGACATTTGAAACAGGACCAAGGGCAACAATTGGAGGCTGCAATAAAACCAAACGTGAGAACAAGGTAACAACAAACCTTGTCAATATTCACTAAATTTCCAATGAATTACTTGACTACATAACACCCCTTCTGGTGTATCTTCCCAATGCACCATAAGCAGAAAGAAACAATTAGCTTTTTTCCACCACAATGTACAACAATTGTTAAGTAAATATGCCTATGACAGAAGCTAACAACAATTCCAGATGCAGAAAAAGATACCCCCTCCAGTCAAAAATAAGTAACGTTTTGAGCTTCCCTGAAGTCAACGGGATTTGCTAAAATTCAGGTGCCTGAATTTTAACTTCCTTTCAGGCGACGTTTATTGCATATGTTTTGTACTAAAATTGCACTTTTGGTTCATTGTAATTTCTGTAGCCACAATCTGCAATTTTCGGTTCCGAGAATAAAAAACCCATTAGACAAAACCATGGACATGACAAAATCTGATTTGTGTTGCAACAAAAACAATTAACAAATTACAATTATTTTTATAGTCAGACAAGGACAAAAATTGATATGTTATAACAAAAGACAAGTAACAAATCACAAAGTAATAATTTACTTGTACTAGTTGGTGAAACAAGAGTGTTGTCTGAAATTGTCTTAATATAGGAGAAGTGCAGAAGTATATATTTGCTATATTTTACAGGTGTGTTATATAAAAAAATAGTAGTCAAAATTTAGTATAGTTGATTTCAGAGAGCCCACTTATTGTTGACTGGAATGAGTACTTGCCCAGGATAGACATGCTTGCCTGAGTTTTGTGGCAAATTGCAGCACTGAACAAATAGGCTCATAGGGTCTAACAAAATTTTCATTGTGACAGAAAAATAAAAGTAAATAGAACTAAATTATGTGAAATGAAAAATTTATGTATCACTACCTTGGTATTTATTTGTTGAGGAGGTCCTCTAGAGCCCTCAAATGCTCTACTCTCGAGCATCCTAAGCAAGCGCTGTCCATCAGTGTTGTGTTGGCAAGTATTTTTATTCCATTATCACTCGTTGTAACTGCGAGTAATGAACCTTCTATATTGAATCTCAAACGATGGCTTGCCTGCAAAATATCAGTAAATCAATGTTAAGCAAAAAAGCTTCAGCATGGTAGCAAAGAAAAAAAGGAAGATACCAACTGGCAGTCCACCGTCACAGTCTGTTGTTGTTAGTACGTTATTGTTATCCATATCCCAGAATTTAACAAGAAATTCATCTCCGGCAGCCAACAAGCGATTCCTAGTTGTGTCAAACTGAACAACACCGAGTGAACGTTTCCTGAAGCCATTGTATGTCCTCTTAATAGCCCCTTCAGTTTCATTCCATTCAACCAAGTGCGAATCACCTTTACTGGTAACGCAAGAGAATAGTCTGCAAGAAAAAATTTGTGAGTGAACAGATGAAATGAGTGAAACTGAAAATGAATCAGAAATGAGTGAAACTGAAAATTTGTTACTCATCAGAAGATATTAAACGGTATATTAACACTTGCTATGTTCTCACCTTGTCGCATCAGCACTGTAAGACATGGTAGTACACCAATGTCCAGGAGCATCGTAGTCAACTCTTGAGCCCAAGCAATCATACAACCATGCCTTGATTTTTCCATCAAGGGCGATAGAGAAGATAAACTACAGAGCAAGACAGAGCTAAAATTAAGAAACACATATGACAGATGGCAACTAGTAACAATAAAATAGAGCGTTACAGCAATGGACATGGATTAGTTGACACTAAATGGGACCAAGTACCGAAATCAGCTGAACACAAGAGCACTAACAGAAGGGAGACCAAAGAAATCTGGAAATTTCATGTCACCGCACAGCTCAACTCGCGCCAATCACCAAAGAGCAGAGAAAGCTCTCGGCTGGGAATACGATGAACGGGCAGAGGCGAAGTGGGGGGAAAGGGGGCACCTGCAGCTGCAGGGCTGTGTCGTCGGAGGCGGTTGACAGCGTGGAATACGTGGCCGCGGTGCACGGCGCGGTAGTCAGACATCATCCAGCCCCGCATGGCCGCGCCGACCGACGCCGCCCGCTCCACCCGCCGCGGCCAGCGAGCCCTCCTGCCCTGGATCCTCGCGGGCCTCCTCCGCCCCCAGGAGGAGGAGGCGCGGTGGGCGTTGCATCAGGAGCTGGTTAAGAATCTTGCAGCGGGGACGGGGAGCGGCCGCTGGCGTCGTGGCTGCCGGCGTGGGTCGCTCGCGACCGACCGCCGCGCGCCATCCTCGTCGGGATCGGGATACGGGAGACCGCCACGCCTTCGGCCAATATCATCCACGGTAGCAACGTCACCATCCATGACTGGCCATGTACGAGGTTCGTCAGCTAGCTCGATGCTCCCCTCCCACTCCCACCCTGCTCTCTCTCTCTCTCTCTTCTTCCCGTCAATCCGTCGAAATTGGGGGTTTGCATAGGCAACATTCCGACTCGTTTGGAATTGGATTTCTCAGCTAGTTCTTGTCTTCGTCTGCGCTTTGGGAAAGGGTTAAAATTGGAAATTTCCCCATTCATATAGAACAGCTAATGGCCGTTGATTTTATGTTTTTTTTTAAGAATTGATTTATGGTTGGTTGTAACAGTTTGTTGTTAGTGGTGTTTTATTTAATAATAAATAAAAAATAATAATCAACGAGGCGTGCGCGCACGTTGAAGTCGTTGTCAGGGGCTTAAGTCCACGCGGCTGCCAAGGTGGGGCCACGGGCGCTCTCGAATTCCCGCACGTTTCCATCCTGGTCATTACACGGAGTCACGCAGACGCAGAGGAGGGTCCGGGAGCCATGCGCGTCCGCGTCGGGTGCAATTTCCGCACGTTTCCCTCCTGGTCGTTACACGGAGTCGCGTCCGCGTCCGCGTCCGCGTCGGGTGCGGGGCCCTACCTGTAAGGCTCACGTGCCGGAGCCTATAAAAGAGCTGGAGGGAGACCAGTGAACTCATCACTCCAGCAGCGAGCAAGAACTCAAAAAGGAACAGAGAGCACGGAGCAGAGCAGGACAGAGGAGGGGAAGAGAGCAGAGCCAGGCAGCCATGGAAATGGGCGACAGCTTCGAGTACTACTGGGAGACGCAGCAGTACCTGGAGTCAGAGGAGTTCAGGTAAGCCGCCGCGCCGGCCATCCGCCGCCATTGCTTTTGGATTTGGCAGGCAGGGAGTCTGATTCGAATGGAATTGCCGTTGCTGCTGCAGCATCTACCTAGGTACGCAGGACGACGCCCTGTCCTGCTACGACTCCAGCTCGCCGGACGGCTCCATCTCCAACTCGTCCTGGGCGCCGGCGGGGACGGTGACCACGGCGGCGCCCGGAAAGGATGAGGGCCCCGCCGGCGCGGGAGGAGGCGGCGGCTGCGGCCGCGGCCGCGAACAAGAACATCCTCATGGAGCGCGACCGCCGGCGCAAGCTCAATGAGAAGCTCTACGCGCTGCGCAGCGTGGTGCCCAACATCACCAAGGTGAGAGAGTCCGTCCGTCGATCGGCATTGCATTGCATCGCAACGTCGTCCGGCGGCGAATTGAACACACTCCTGTTTGCAATGCATTGCAGATGGACAAGGCGTCGATCATCAAGGACGCGATCGAGTACATCGAGCAGCTGCAGGCGGAGGAACGGCGGATGCTGCAGGAGGTGCGCGCGCTCGAGGCCGCCGAGGAGCGCGTCGACTACGATTACGACGAGGGCGCGCTCCTGGAGGCGGAGCGGGGGAAGAGGATGAAGCGGACGCAGTCCGTGCCTTCGTCCTCCTTCCCGGCGCCCGTGGAGGTCCTGGAGCTGCGCGTGTCGGAGGTGGGCGACCGCGTGCTGGTGGTCAACGTGACGTGCGGCAAGGGCCGCGACGCCATGGCCCGCGTCTGCCGCGCCGTCGAGGAGCTCCGGCTCCGCGTCATCACCGCCAACATCACCTCCGTCGCCGGCTGCCTCATGCACACCATCTTCGTCGAGGTACGAGCTGATTGCTCTGCTTTTCTTGTGGAGTTTTCGAATGATACGGATGACGTCAGGCACCATAGCTTTTGTAGGTTTGACCTTAGAATTTGACTTTTTCACACATTGAAAAATTTCCCCTTTTTATTAGAAAAAGGTGGAGTGAATAAAAGATCGTCGTCCTGTTCCATTTGCGGCTGTTAAAAAGAACTGAAAATTTTCCGCCAAGAGTTCCTTTTCGTGATCCACGTCAGACGCGAGTCTGAATGGTGATTGATGATAGAAAAAACAGAGCAAGAGGACACCATGGCCGGCAGCCTCACATGCCGATAGCAGGTGGAAAACGATGGGCACGTGCACAGGAACCGCAAGTCTCGTCGTGGTTGTTTCCATCGTCCATGAATTATAGCTTAGGCTTGTGTTTAGTTCCCAAAAACTTTTTTAAAGAGTGCTATAGTAGTTATCATATCGAATCTTACGATATGTGTATGGAAGCATTAAATGTAGACGGAAAAAAAACTAATTGCACAGTTTGGTTGGAAATCGCGAGACGAACGTTTTGAGCCTAATTAGTCCATGATTGAACACTAATTGCCAAATAAAAACGAAAGTGCTACGGTAGCCAAATTTTCAAATTTCGCGAACTAAACACAGCCTTAGTAATAAAACACAACAGATTTATTTTCCACATGCTTGTCAGCGACAGATTGTCGTCCCATGCCAGGCACAAACTGCACGTGCTCGAATTGTTGCACATGATTGGTGTGTGTGGTTAGCTGAGATTCCTTTCATGAATAATAATATGTGGGTGACTCCTAATTGACATTTTATATAGCAATTAATATTTTGCTAGTATTTGGATTTGTCTAAAAAGACTTACAATCGGGTGATTTTGTTTTTCAGGTGGATTTGGATCAAGCAAATCGTATTCAAATGAAGCACATGATTGAGGCCGCTCTGACTCAGCTAGATGCCGCCGGGAGCCCGCCAAGTGCGATGAGCTATTAGAAACGCTGAGTCGCTGACATGAGCCGGCCTAGCTATTCTAGTCGAATATGTCCATGTAGGAGTCAACAAATGCGTAATCAATGGTGTTTCGATCGTGTACTGCTCTTTTTCTCGACGCCCCTTGCCCATATATAGGAATTATTAGGAGGTGGCTGCTTCGCTATAGAGGCACTAGGTCAGGGGCTTTGTGATGGGACTTTATAGAATTTTGGTGTAATGAAGGGCTTTGTGATGGGGCTTTATAGAATTTTGGTGTAATGAACTGAGATGTAAATTTCAAAATAAGAAGTTCATTGACTCTGCATGGTCTCTACAAGGGGAAAAAATCATGGTGAAAAATAGTTTCTATGATCCTTTATTGCAACAAATGCAACACAGGCAAGTTGCATTTTCGGAAAAAAAAATATTGTAACAAATGAAACTATGATTATGGAAAATGACTTTCAAGTTCTAATCCGCTGATAACATGTTTTCTTTCATGAACCAGCATGTTCTCAAACAAAGTCTGAGTCCCTACTTAGATTAATAAAATAAGTTGCTAGCTACTTAAAAAAAACTTCAGCTAATCTTAACAACCTAGCTTATAAACTATTTTGAACTATTCAACCACCCATCTTATAAAAAGCTATTAGCCGACTCCCTCTAAAGTAGGGCTCCTACTTTTCATTTGAGAGCTCCCCCAATTTTTGAGGGCACTATTTTTGGGCTGCACTCTAGAAATGGCCCTCAAAATAGAGGAATGATAGCTGGGACCCGCTTGTCATTGACTTTCTCAACCAAAACACTTGGAGCGGCGGCAAAGGGAGTCACGATCGCTAGGGAAACCGCCTCTCGGGCGTGCTCCCGTCCTTCCGCAGCTTGGCAGCGCTCCAGCACGCCTTCCTCAACAACAACGACTTCAACGCGCATCCCAGCTGACTTTTTCCATGGCCTCACCGACCTCCTCGAGATCTCACTCGGCAACGACCCGTGCCTCAATGCCTCCCGCGATGGTAGCGGAGGGTTGACGCTCCCACTTACGCTCGCCGACTCCGTGCAACAGCTGCAAGTGATGTCCCTCGACAACTGCAACCTCACCGGCGCCATCCCAGACTTCCTCGGACGCCTCACCAGCCTCCAGAACCTCACGCCATCGCCGATGTTCAACAACCAATGGAATTGGGGTGGGTGGGGAAGGGAAGTGGATGAAGGGACTGGGGTCCATGGAGACTAGGGCTAGAGACGGCAACTCTGAACAACCGGAGTTGAAGAGAAGGGTAGAAAAGATATTTCACTCACCTTCTCTCTCTTGAAATATGAGAAATGAATAAAATAGTTAGTGTGGTGTGTTAAAGAAAAAATACACGTTTTTATAATGATATTGGACAAATTTCAGAGTTGACGGTGTCCATTAGCACATGCCACGTTTCTCTGATGTCCCTGAGTAAATTCCCCTATCTTTTAGTGTGCCTTATATAAGAGAAAGTAATTAAGTTGCCTTAAAAAAGACAGCCAATTAAAGAACCCTTGCAGCGAAGCAAAAGATGCCCTAATATAAGGTTGTCTCAAAGTTTAGCTGATTTAGACGACTTATAATTCTCATAATTAAACGGTGTCCTAACGACCAGAAGATAAAACAAAACAAGACTCGTTCCATGTCGTGTCATCCTCGGTGTACACAAAACTTTCTCTGGAAACATCTGAGACAGGTCTAACGTCTCGGTCCACAACCATTCATATTTCATTCACACCACACCAGCCACTGATATGGAGAGGAGATATCATTATTATACGTAGTACACGGCAAAATAGCTTTTGTTCCACGTGCTGTAATTGGGCTCTGTCGCCTTCCTTTCTTTTTGTCTCATCGTGGAGCTATCAGCTACTATGTTGGTAGCACATCGAACTGTCTTGTGCTTTGAAGTGAGCGAAGATATGATATAGTATATTTTAGAATAAAATAATGTATTTAATTTTTTGCTAGGAGCTGGTGACTGCTCTGTGATGGGGCCTAAAGAACTTTGATGTAAAATGAACTAAGATGTAGTAGATTTTGAAATAAGTTCATTGACTCTGCATGGTCTCTAGAAGGAAAAAAAAAGTCATGGTAAAAAAATAGATTCTATGATTCTTTATTCGGCAAGCCTAGCGCCCGGACGTCCGGCCCTAGGCCTGCGTCTGGGCGCGGCTCCCATTCGTCCGTGCATGCATCCCGCTCCAACCGCGACATACACTTGAATCAAATAAAATCGCGACGCACGCAGCTCCCTAATCCCGCGCCCATTGCCTCATCCCTCATCCATACGGATGCCCTGCCGGCTCCAGGAGAGACGATGCAGCAGAAGATGGGAGGAGGAGATGCAACACCTGATCTAATTTTGAACATCCAAATACAACGGTTGCAATATACGTCTAAAGGCAGTTGAAGCACTTGAAACATGCTTATGAAACACATGAAACACACTTGAAAACCATTGCAACATCCGAATAAAACACATGCAAACATATATGTAGAACTTATGCAACATCCAGATAAACACAATTGCAACATGCATCCGAAAAACATAGATGAAACATACCACTAAAATATCTGAAACACTCAAAACATACTCTTACAACATGCCTCTGAAACAATTGCAACATGTGCAACATCTCCCGATCTACTTTTGCAACATCCATATGAAACAAATGCAACATACCTCTGAAATGACTTAAACAATTGAAACATACAATTACAACATAGAGAGAGAGAGAGCCTGGCACGGGGAGTGACGACATGGCCGCTAGATCTGCGGGCATTGGGGGCTCCCAGTGGGGGAGGACGCCGGTGTGTATAACACCAAATCAATTGTTAAAACATGTCATGAGCATTATGTTTATGTGTTAATGCATGTGACAAAGTGTGTAGATCAATTTCTGTAACTCAAAATGATCAATAAAAATGCTAAATGAAAGTTGATTCGATAGTTCATGCATATCAAGTAGGGTTTAAAACTAATTTTTATTAAGCAAAAATACTATAGAACATGTGTGTGATACTTAAATAAAGTTAGAAGTGCAAACTTTGTAGATGACAATGAAATGCTTACTGTTGAAAAATAATATTGCTTAGTAATATTTTCAATAGCTTAGAAATACAATTTGAAATAGAGTTCGACTCCAAAAACTTAGAAAAATTTCAAGCTTGTATACAACTGGGCATTGTTAAGTTTAGCAAATTATTTAGAGAGATTGGGTTAGAGGGTGATGCGGTATTTTAGCTCGGCTGAGCAGCCTCATGTATCAGTTTGATCGTGGTGAAGTCGGTTTCGGTTTAGAGGCAATGGTTTAGTGGTAGTCGCTGCTTTAAAATCCGTGCACAACACATTCTCGGGCTAGCCCTCTGGGCTAGGCGCGGTCACCAGGCCGTGGGGGCACGCCGTCGCGGCGTTGGTGCGCTCTGCGTGCGCACGCGCGCTGCCACGCTTGGCTGGCCTGGTTACCCCGACCCGACCGCGAGGAGCTGTTGTTACTGTGGCTTGCCCGGCTGAGCGGCGCTGCCCCTACCCCGCGGGTTGTCGCGCCGCCGACCCACCTGGACCCGCGACGCAGCCGCTGCTGTCGCATCACGCCGCGCTCGCCCCTGCCCGCTGCATCGCACTGCGTCGCCTGCCGCTGCACCGTGCTGCGTCGCTGGCCCACTTTGATGTCGTGCGCACGAGACCGGACTGCCATCGCCATGCCATTTATGGGCATTTATGGCACTACGGCGCGCGGGCCACGCCGATCGCGAGCATGCATGCCTGTCGGTTAGCGTTTGGCCACTGGCTGCGCTGGTCGCGTCAACCGCATCTCGCCAAGGCTCGCCTCATCGAGTCACCGGCGCACTTCACGTTTCCTTCTCTCTTAACCGCATCGCGCCAACATGCGCCTATGAGGGGTCGTCTCCCATCAATTACATGCACCGAGTCGCCCCCACCCCGCCGCACGGCCGGTGAGCTCTCTCTTGCCTCGCCCCGCGCCTTCTCTCCGTGGCTGCTCCAACCTCGCCATCTCGCGCCGAATTGACGCACCACTAGCCCGCTAGAACCCCTCTTTGCCTATGAGGGGTCTCCCATCAATTCCATGCTAACACACGTGTCCATCGCCCACCGTTAAGCTCCATCACGCCGCGGACTTTTCGAGGCGCTTCTTGGCCAAGCCACCACCACGGGTAGGATCGTGGTGCATCACTGATGCTTACCCATCACTTCTATTATTTGTTGCACATTTGCTCCCCGCCACAGGTTGCGCCATTAAGGCTCGCTCTGCTTCACCTCCGTTCTCAACCACCGCCCATTGTCGTGATTCAGCACATAGGTGAGCATCGATCCCATAGCTAGGTCGCAAGGGTTGACCGCACCACTAGCCACACCTTACTTAGAACCCTCTTTGTCTTGGCAAGAAATCATGCAGCCCTATGGCCAAAGGCCGCTCCACGCCGTTATTGGGCCCGACCCCGCGCAACGCTGCGAACCGTTAAGCTCGTCAGCCGCCCGCCGCAATGAAAGCAGCTTGCTTTCGAGGCTCTTCGCCAAGCCACCACCACGGGTAGGATCGATCGCCCGGTGAGGCCCGTTTTAATTTATTCTTACCCATCACTTTCCTTTTTCTAGGGTTTTATCTCACGAGGTGTGAGTTTGACCTAGAACGGGTTTTTAATGTGACATTGCATAAAAAGCTCAAATCTTTTGTCATCTGCCGGGGGGGTGATTGTTAAATATGAATTCACCTCCGTGATTGTCTTTGTTAACCACCGCCCATCGTCGCAGGCTATGGGTGGCCCCATGGGGTGAGCATCGATCCCATAGCTAGGCGTGCAAGGGCCGTCCCAGCACGGTGGATCTGTTCGACGAACGGTGGCGGGCGGGAACAAAGGGCCGAGCCCGTCGGTCCACACGCCCGAGCTCGGGCCGTGCCATGGCGTCTTGGCCCGTTGCTCATCTTTAGTCGTGGGGACCTCCTCTATGCAAACACAGCTTCTCTCGGAGTCTTTCGTGCAT